GCCCAATCCTGATTGAATTATACTCAATAAAATATGTTTAAAGTAAAGTTTGATGAAATTCTGTGCAGCAGTTTATGAGGAATTGAGCTGACAAAATGTTCATTTCTATATTCAAGGTATGGCCAAAAATCTAATTTGAAAAGTGCCAAAATTCCCAGAAAAATAAAGGAATCGGAATTTCCTGGTAATATGCACATCTACACACTGTGTCCTAAATATCTCCAAAGTTTGACGAAAATCTGTGCAGCGGTTTATGAGGAGTTGCGCTGACAAAATGTTCATCTCTATATTCAAGGTATGGCCAAAACTCTAAGTTGAAAAGTGTGAAAATTCTAGAAAAAAATAAAGGAATCGGAATTTCCTGGTAATATGCACATCTATACATTGTGTATATTCTGTGCACCAGTTTATGAGGAGTTGCGCTGACAAACTATTTATCTCTATATAAAGCTATGGCCAAAACCTAAGTTTTTAGTGTGGAAATTCCCGGAAAAAAATAAAGTAATCGAAATTTCCTGGTAATATGCACATCTACACATTGTGTCCCAAATATCTGCAAAGTTTGACAAAATTCTGTGCAGCAGTTTATGAGGAGTTGCGCTGACAAACTGTTCATCACTATATTCAAGGTATGGCCAAATGCCTAAGTTAAAAAGTGCAGAAATTCCTGGGATAATATAGGAATCAAAATTTCCTGGTAATATGCACATCTACACATTGTGTCCTAAATACCTGCAAAGTTTGACGAAATTCTGTGCAGCGGTTTATGAGGAGTTGCGCTGACAAACTGTTCATCTATATATTCAAGGTATGGCCAAATGCCTAAGTTAAAAAGTGCGGAAATTCCTGCAAAAAATAATGGAATTGGAATTTCCTGGTGATATGCACATCTACACATTGTGTCCTAAATACCTGCAAAGTTTGACGAAATTCTGTGCAGCGGTTTATGAGGAGTTGAGCTGACAAAAAAACAGGACTGACTGACTGCTGACTGACTGACTCACGGACTGGTCAAAAACATTATACCTCACACAACTAGTTGCGTGGGGTATAATTAGCCATGGCTAAGATTTCTGGATCATTTTTGTAGGACTTTGTTTCTTACTTCCCTTTAAAATTACTTTAGTAGTTATATAAATCTAGAATTTTAGGGTCAGTTTTGTAGGGTTTTGTTTCTAACCCCAGTAAATCTCTGGCTTAGCTTATAGATATTTGAATTTTTAAAGGGGTTTTGTTATGTATCTCACTATTCACTAGCTATGATTCCTGGGACATTATTGCAAGGTTTTGCTTTTTAACCCAACCTAAGTTATAACTTAGATTGATGTATCATTTTTGTATGGCTTTGTTTCTTACCTCACTAAATTAGTCATTGCTAAGATTTCTGGGTCATTTTTGTATGGTTTTGTTTCTTGTGAATCAAAAGGGTTGATTCCTGACTTCATTAACATGTTTGCCAGCACTAAGTATTTCAGACAAGTTGTCCTCCTGCAAACAAAATCAGGTAGTTCAATAACTAATAATTAAGTTCATTTATTGACTATAAAACAGATTATCTTTTCAGTTATCTCTTTGGCTGTCACTAGTATAAGTTATTTCTAAGTGCTTAAATTTGTAGACTTTACTGTTAATTTTAAATTCAATCAAAATTTATAGTTTGCTACAATATAATATTAGACTATCTCTCCATTATGACTTATTGTGATGATACAAATAAACCAGCAAATGATTATATCATGATACATAAAAGACAACATATGACAACAACATATGAACATGACAAATTAGATGACCTGTAAACTGAAATGAATTATGTAAAAGAAAAGTTTAATTCTGAATAAAAGCCATATTTCACACCATTGTATATCTACATTAATGGACTTATTTCTACAAGAACTTATCTGAAAGAGAATATCAGTAAAAGAGTTGACATAAAATATCATCATGTTTATTTATGAGATATCTTTCACACAAAACACATTATAACATCCAGGATCCTCATAGATACAGTACTGTAGAGAATTATCTACTCTGGTCACACTTTACCTTGGACTTCCCGATTCATCGTAATTCTTAAAGGCCTCAAAGAAGTCTGTGTGAGCTTTTTCATATTCCCCCTCTCTTAGGTGCATTTTCCCCCCACATTCTGAAAAAAAAAATCAGATATGTATAAACAATATCTTTTTTTAAAAAATCACCTTTATATGCTAATACAATATACATTATCATAATTTTGTACAGATTAAGTTTCATATTTCTAACACATTCTCACCTCTAATCACTCCCATGATAAGTGGGTGGGGGATCGCAGATTTTATGTGGAGAGACTGTTCATACAGGGTCTGTAATTGAAATAGTTTATAATAAATTGCAGAGAATGAATATTTACGATAAAGAGGAGACATAATTTTACATTACACTGATAGACTGAGTCCTACCTTTAACTTTTTGTTGTTTTTCTGGGCTGTGTACATCTGGATTTCCAGAGCGTAAATCTCCAACAGCTGAGTGCCTTTCTTCAGATCATCCTCACCATCATCGGTCTACAAAACAGTGGGGTATGTTTACACTGTAGACTAATGTGTTTGTAGTAACAATGCCATGTAGTCACCAGGTACCTAATGAGGTAAAGCCCAGCTGACTATGAAAATTACAAGTCTTTACTCCCCTTGCCTATCACTACATGACCATGTACCTGTGGTGAAGAATTTAACAGACCAATTTAATGACCAAATATTTATGTATGTCTTATGCTGCTGACCAGTGAACGACCTGGCTTTATAACATGTGCTTCCATGCATCCGGCTGTGTCTTGATTTCCCTTTGGTTTAGCACTTTCAGTAAATGTGCAGCCATTACATCACTTGCAATAGTAATCAGGTGATTCTTTTATTTTCTAGCTTCTCTGTATCTAATAACAGTCTTTAGCCCCCCTATTTTTTTTTATTTTACAAAAGTTTTCAAATTTTCATTCATAAAGAGTACATTTAGAAACATGAAACAAATTTGGAGACTTCCTCTATTTTTAGACTCCTCTCTAACAGGAACAGAGAGTGTTACACTGGTAGCAGTACCTGACAGGACTGATGAAGCTGCTTTAGGATTTTCTGTAACTTTTGGTAGTCTCCCCTATCAAAGTACAGCTTTCCCAGCTTCGTGTTAGTTTTGAACCATAGTCTCTCATTTTTAGCCTCCTTAAGTGCATCTAGCGTTGTTTCATAGAAATTCTGTAGGAGTTCCATCTGTTGAATATAAAAAAAAAATCTGGAAACTGAGCAGAAGTGGAAAGTGTGTAAAGTACATGTTTTCCAGACTTCATGAGATGCTGATGGTAAATTTATAAGGTATGTGCATTTACATGACATTGTTATAAAATTCAACTAAAATGAATTTTTCTAAATAACCTGTTTGGACGTGGAGATATAATCCAGGATGGAGTTTATGGATTTTTCCGAGTAGTTCCTTGTCACTGCAGATTTGATGTAGGTAAGCAACTGTTTATATCGCTTCATCATCTCGGGAAAATTCCCCTGTAAATTATACAATGTAATAATTTAACACTGTAGGGATATTAACGTAATACTCCATTTGTGATTTTCAATTCCATGCAAATCCAAGAAATTCTTCTCTGCCATACCACATAAATATCATTTTTTGTATTTGTATATAATTATAATTTACATATTAATTAATATTATATGACATAATGTTAACCTCTACATTTCCTTCAAAACACTGTCACTCTTCTAAATTCTCTGTTTTCTGTCCTTCTTTTGTTCATTTCTTTATTAATAAATATATATACATGTGTGTTCTAATTTTTCTGATTTTTAAAGATAAAACTGCAGTGAAAAATTGCTTTTTACAATATTGTGTACTAGACTATTCTGCATATAAAAGTGTTCCCGGGAAAGATGCTAGTAATTTACTTACCAATTTGAAGTTGATTTTGATCATCTGCTTTAATGCCTTGAAGCCCCATTCACCTTTATCTTTCCCTTCTAATTCTAAAACCTAAACGAAAGTCAACAAATTTACTGTAAGTGTAACCCAATAATATAATTATAAAATAGGAAGACAAAGTACCTGTCCATCCATTCACATATCAATTAAATCATATTTTTTCCATGATCAGAAAATTTAATAAAACATTATTCATCAGAGCATACATGAAGTAGATTGTAGAGCATTCTTATTGCATTGTATTGATCTGGGCAATGTAGAAAATACACATTGAGGATCAATCCCTGAAGTGGTAAATTTATGACTATAACTGAAATGCTACAGAATTGTACATTTTCTGTAATGATCAAATACTTCCTTTTTGTTATTAACCTATATGACTTTTTTTTACCTTATTGGACATTTAGAAATTCTTAATGGAAAATGAAATTTTATGCATCTAAACTTATCAATCTAGATTACTCATGACAATTAAAAAAAGATTCATCGTTTTTATTTTTGGTATTTTTTTTAAATAAACATGTATCAACCATCCTTAAAATGTCCTTTTGTTTACAATAGAATAAGTCCTATGTATATGCAATTTAATACAATAATCAGGGACATTTTATGCCAATTTAAGGTAATACATTGGGCATTTAGGGAAGGTTTGAATGTTAAAATTGGTGAAATCCATCCCAAATGCATCATGGCATATATTAGATCCAAAGGACAGTTAACAAAGTTCTAAAGGAAAGCATTTGTTTTGTTTTGGTTGCATTTGGGTGTCTTTTATGTTGCAATCATGATAACTCTCAAATCACATCTGCCATTTTTCCGCTGTATATCACACAGTTTTTATGTACCTTTTGAAAACTTTCCAGGGCACTTCGAGGATCATCTTCCTTGAGTGCTTTAGAATTGTAATACTGGTTCTCTAGATCGACGTCTGGTTCTGAGTTGCTTTCCTCGGAATACTCCTATAGATAGATATTTTTATCATTATGAATCATATCAAGCACATGATGTGTGATGATAAACTATATTTAACCAAGCGCAGTAAGTCATGCATCAGACAAAATTTCTGATGTCGTTAGAGCGAGAATTAAATAAAACTGGCGGTTTCCAGTCAAAAAAAAAATTCAATATACAGCAAATATTTTCATTTCCCATGAATTTTGATGTTATGTCATAAACCTGTGAATGCAGTAAAATGTGACATTTTGTGTACAGCAGGTACATATCACATGTACGTGTGTGTGTCAAATGTATGTGATGTCGTTCAGAATGGAGAGGTGGGAATTAAAATATATATTGTGATATCACAAACACAAAAGTCCCCGGCATTTACAATGTGCCGTGGGTCATGTCCTCTCAAAATGCTAGCATACTCTGTATACATTCTTCACAGAAATTTCTCTAAATATGACTTGCAATAATGAAATGCAGACTTGTCGAAATCCGTCGGTCCTGTCGGCAAGGCCGGTAAAAATTTGTCTGGACCGATAACATTTAAGAAAACGTCGGTCCAGATGACCGTTTGAAAAAAAATGAGCATAATGAAAATTTAATAAAGATCGGGATCGGGATGCGTAGTTTAAGGTCACAAACACAGAAAAAAAAATGGCCGCGTACGCAGCATGTTGACGATAGCTATGTAAATTTGTTATAGCAAAGTCATAAAACTTGTCATTTATGTCTATGTTAAAGACTCTATCCCAAGAAAGGAAACTTGTTAGATTGAAGGCCATTGAAAATAATAAAGGACATTTTGGTGATTTTATTCATATGATTTTACCAGCATCAAAATGACGTACAAGTATGTGGTCTGACAAAAGTTTGACTGGTCCGACAAAACATTCGACTGTGTCAGACCAAATGTCTGACAGCGATTAAAAAATTTCGACATGTCTAGAAATGACTATAGACAGCAAAATATATGCTAACATTGCTTAGATTTTTTTGTGAAATAGATGAAACGTATTCCAAAAGTATTATTGATGCAACGCGATTAATGCATGAAAAATAAATTATTGTTGATAAAAATTTTATCTGTCTACATCTTGTTAATAAGAAAACTCAAAATGTAAAATTCGATTTTTAAAAAATTGCTCCTGTTTTAATTATTTACACAATCTTTATTGGCATGTTAAACAAATCCATGTGAACAAGCTTGCATTAAAAATACTTATCATTTATCATATTTTTTTTAAAAACCTTATGTTGTATAAACAAGCTCATAAAGATTTTACCAAGTCATACTCTTCATCGTCGTACATGCACTCATCGTCCGACATTTTGTTTATTTATATTTCACGTGTATGGAACGGAAGAATTTATTCCGGAAAAAATGTCATTACTTGTTCGGATTTGGTTCAGTTTTGGGTTTTAAAGGTTATTTGTAAAACGTCAAAAAGTAGACGAAGCTAAGATGGTAAGTTAAAGTTTTCCATTTCAGCCAAAATTTGGGTGATTAAAATTCTTTTAGAATTATACATACATATAACTGAAACGTTTATAGAATTTTACAATTGACTGAAGGTAATAAATAGCCATTTTTTGAAGATGAAAATGGCATCAGCTAGATAGAAGCAACAGCATTTAAACATGTTAGAATGATCAATCATATAATATTGAAAGAAAAAAAAAATCCTAATTATAATAATATATCTATTGTGGAATAAAATTTGCCCAAAAATTTAGTATCAAATGAAAATGGTAAATACTCATTTAATTCTGATGTCTCTTAAAAAAACATTAAAACAGCTGCTCGAATTTCCTCGATTTTTTAAAGCTGATTTTTTCTTTAGGCTGACTTTCTAAAAGAATTGCCTAGTCATAACGAGGATAATTTTACAAGGTTCCACACAGATTCCAGTTGTAGATCAAATGTAAGTACTAAACATACAAGTTTCTACATGATAAGTTGATGGTGGTATCATGATTGTTTCCCCACAGTTCTAAATTTTATCAGTGGTCTTTATTGATGGAATATTGATGCAATATTTTTAGTCCGAAATATTTAACGTTGTCCTGGCTTTTTTACATTTTGAAATTTTACGTGCCATTACGAAAACTGGGAATTCACCGCCTCCAACGGGAGGCGGCATTCTCAGGTTGATTTTAGATACTTGCTAACAGAATGAAAAGTCGAACTCACAAGTTATCAATAGTACAATAACTTTCGTACTTACTATCATCGTTTTTTATGGTTCATTTATAAAATGTACAATCTGATAAAATCATTTTATCAGACTTGCAAGATTAGTCTTCATATCATGTATGTTAAAATCATTTAAGGTCAAGATCTAGTAAATGAAGGGTGCCTACAGATTTATCAAATTCAAGAAATGAAACCTTTTATTGATGCTTTATGACTTTAGCTTGCAGCAAAGGTGTTCGGTTCACAATTTGTAAGAAATAAAATGAAAAGCCATATTTTAAACTGTCATTTTCAATGAAAAATTAGAAAATTTGTCGTGAATATGGCATTTTTTCCATATCACACAAACAAAATGTATCCAGAATGCCTACAGTCTTTCAGAAAACGGTATTTGTATGTTTTTGATTATTCTTTTAAATAATGTTAAATTTAATATTATGACTATTGGAAAGTGATTTCAAATTGAATTCCATGAAAATACTTTATTTTCACATAATTCTATTCAATACATAAAGTATTTTCCACACAAAGAGCATGAAAGTGATTATGACGTCTAATGGATCTAGCACCAAAAAGTTGTTCCATTTACTAGATCTTGACCTGTTAAGGGGGCCTATATGTTCTAGTTGTGGGAAGTAGCGTATATAAATGGCACGCACAATAGCCTCGTTTTTATTTTCCCGCTGACTTTTGCAACTGTGATTATTAATAACATTGTTATTAATCAATATACAGTTTACAAAAGGAGATTTTTTTTCATCATTTATAACAGTTTTATTTGATTTATGGAGTTTGTAATATTCAGTTCTCTTCCTTTGGTTGATAATTCATAGCAATTTCAGTTTTCTATACCTCCATATATAGCTGATATAAAAATGCAAAATTTATAAGATAAAATTCAGCAAAGACAGTGTGTGATCAGGAAATATGTTTAATTTTATGATAACCATTAATTGTATTTTCTGGATAAAATTGAAAAGAAATTAAAAATGAGTTGTACCTATATTTTATTGATTTATATGTGTATGTAGCATTTAAAAGTATTATGTCATTCCTTGGGTTCTAAAACCTGTTGGATGAAAACAATTTTAAATTTAGAATGAAAAGAGAAAAGAGTTTATCTGTTTAAATTATTTCTTATCAAAACAAAATACTCGTTTTTTGCAAAATAATTTATATTCAGATGTTTGTGTCTAACACTTTTTTATTAGAAATTGTTTATGACAGAAACATTTCAAATAAATATGTAACAGTGAAATTTTGTTTATTATATCATAAAGGTATATTTTTTCTTCCAAAAAAGAGAGGGGTGAGCCTCTGTAAAAAATATTAATTACAACATTTTCACACAAAGACTTTTGCTTCAGATATTACCTGTTGTGCATGTTTTGTAAAAAATTTTAAACAGATGAAAAACGGGGTATATTCCATTGTGCTCCTTTATAATTTTTCATGCGAGAAATTACAATGAATTTGCCTTCATTTTAAAGATACAAGTATATAAATTAAATACATGTTCATTTACGATTGTGATTTGATATTTTTGGTTCTTTTTTCCTCTAGCGCATATTTGGAGTAAAACAAGAATGTACTGGTAATAATCTATTTTTAGCATTTCACACTGTTATTTGCACGTGCTCCTGTGTAAAAATAAGCACATAAAGGTATTGTTTTTAATACCTAAAAATTAAAAGCAAGTGGTCATAAAAAAATGTCAATAATTTTTGAAAATTTCACACAAAGACTTTTCGGACATAGGTCCCCCCTTAAGTCCCGTATCGAAATGTGGATTAATATTTTCTTTTTTGTTGATGTTGGTAAGTATTAGAAATGTTGTGCTCTTGATAAATTCTGATTTCAGCATTTAGTTCGGTTCACAATTATCGAAAATTATCTGCGGTTGGAGAAGGCAAAATTTCCCAGTTTTCTTAATAGCCCCAGTTCTGTCGTTTTCCTGGCATATAAAATATCAAAACCTTCAAAAAGCCAGGAAAACATCAGTCTATTTCTGAGGAAAATATTAGATATTTTTGATTATTGTTGGGCCTAAACTGCATTCATCTAATTTATGACTATTGGAAAGTGTCAAAAATCACAATATTATGTAAAAATATAATTTAACTTTTCAGTATGAATTACTTATTCAATACATATGTATTCAATACATATGGGAAGTAGTTATGTAAATGGCAGCTAGCAACGAATTCCTCACTATTTTATTTTCTAATGAAATCTTTTTACAACAGATATTATTATTAAATCACTGACAAAGGCATCTTTAGCAATATACTTCCACAAGAGACCCTGTTGTGGCCATACAAGCTTGCTTTCAGTCCTTTGATTTTAACTTCAGTCTCACAGGCGCTTGTTTCATACAGTACGTTAGTTTTCTACTATTATATAGTAGAAAACTAACGTACTGTATGAAACAAGCACCTGTGTTCAGTCTGTGTGTGTGACAGGACTGAACTAGCTGAATGTCTTGTTTAGAACATTAAGCTGGATGGATGTTAATTGAAAATGAGTTAAAGGAGTTTAATCTTCTTAAAAATAAAATGTGTATTGCATTAAAAAGTTATAAATAGTAGATTTTGGGTAAAAAACCTAGCAAAGATGAAAATAATTTTAAATTTAGATAGAAAAGACATAAGTCTATTTTGGATAGGCTTTTAGTTTCTTCAAATGCAATTTGATCTTAAGATATTTGTGTCAGCACTTGTTTTATTAGAAATTTTATAGAAACATTTCACTATCTATATGTAAGGCCATAATAAAAATATTTGGCACAAAGCATCTATGGGTGAAGGGCCCCAAAAATTGTCGATTTTTTTTATTTCTGTTTTTCTTCGTCTTAATTCTGATGGGGATCCACTAAAATTAATGCAATCATTCTACTTTCGTTTTAAATCCCGCGAATGTCAACATAATTTTGACAGCTGAAAAGATGGTAATTCCTGCAATACATGCGTATTTATTTTAAAGAAGGGTCATTGGTTGAAAAAGATTGGCGATGATGTGAAGTAAGAGATAACGGAACCTTTACTATGACTTTTATTCTGGTCTTGTAGATAAAATTACACCAATTGATTAGGTCAATAAAAAATCTGCAAAATTGAAAAAATAAAAAATATAAAATAAAAGCCGCCCGCCCGCCCAGTTTTTAAAAAAAAAAATTCGGATGAGAATCTAGCAATTTATTTATTATGGCCTAACAGTGAAATTTTGTCAAAATGAAATATTGGCCTTCCAAAAAGTATAACTGTGAGCCTCTGTAACAAGGAGACAATTGATGTTGCAGCCACAGGCTAATCATGTGCTTCACAATGTACCTGATCATGTTTTGTTTACCTTTTAAACAGATGAGAAAACCAGCAGTGTATATTCCAACAGTGGACCACCCCTCAGAACAAGGTAAATTACCTGTGAACGATTATTCAGTTCTCTGTAAAAGTATAAAACTGAAAATACTGGCCTCAGGCTACTGGTATCAGAAATCTGGTTTTTGACATGTCTGTCTGTTCTCCCTAAACCAAGGGTTAAGTCTATAAACTCTACTTGGTAGATAAATAAATTTCAATCTTAACAACTGAATATTACGAATATTAATCCGAGATTCCTCTGACTTTTAACCCTGCTTTTTGCACAAGTCACAATACAAAAAGCGGGGGTTATAGTCAGTATTTCAACCCCAAATAATACTTTTGAAGTTGTAGGAGGATGGTCGTAAATTTGACTATCATTTAGACTAGTGGAAGATTTGACATCATTTTGATAGCATAAATCTGTACATTTTATCTTACATTTAAAATTCATAGAACTTAAATAACAGCATTAAAAAAAATAAAACTCTGATATCTTTAGCTTTCATGTTTAATACAACTTGAACTAATTACTATCTGTTAATTTTATACAGTTATTACAACAGAAAAGACCAATATTTTGTTACGATATTTACATCAGCAGTGGGATAAAAAGGTCAGTTATAAAAGTAAAATTTGTTTGAATTTTTTAAACCATTCAAGAAAAAAAACATATAAATACATGTATCATATGCAACAATTTTCTACTAATTTGCATATTCTATATTGATGAATTATAAATGCTCTGATATATAGGCATTCTCTTTGTTTTATTTATTTACTATCATTGATAAATGGTAGCCATTATTATGAAAATTTGTTACTGTAGAATCAGAATAAAAAGCGAGACTACAGCCGCTCCAGCCTAGATTCCACAGAAAGCAGTTCGTCATCTAAAATGCCTCGACTTAATTCAGATGATATATCATAAACAAATCCGGTGTAAGTTCCAGGGTGGACAATGAAAGCAAAAGGAATGTAATCTGCTGTAGGAGGCAGTGGTCGGTCTGATCTATGCTGATATTGAAGTAATATTATTATGTTATTCATTGTTGTATATGATTAAAGTGTTCACAAGGAATAGGTTATCTGATAAATGGTGTATAAGTTCTGTAAGAATGCCTTAGCAAGTCTATAAATTCAGTAAAGTACATACAAGTTGTTGTATTTTTATGTTTAGTGGTGAATTGTCTGAAGGGTGTATATGAAAGTTTAAGTACATGTACTGTACATGTGTATGTTTTGTGATAATGAAAGTTGAAAAGAACACATTGTGGATATTTTTCACACAGAATTTTATTTGTAGGGGTAATATTTCCCTGTCTTCTTTTGTTTATCATTGTTAACCAAATCAGAGTGAGAATTTAAAAAAGAGTAAAGCTCACCCTCCTCTCAAACATATGTAAGTTTTGGCAAAAGGCAAATATAGGCAAGTATAGGTACATGTAAATAAAGGCAAATGTAGGCAGGTTTTAGATTTTGCTAATAAATTATTGGTATTCATTAGTACCGGTGTAGGTTAATCAAATGAAGTTACAGTAATTTATTATATGTGATAATCTATTCCATCTCCATCTTTTCAAGCCTGTTAGTATTGTTAGCTTTTGATTTTAGGCTTGCAGTGCTAAGTTTCTGGCCATTAAGTCGTTTGTAATGCTTTCTGACTGCTCCTATATTTTCAGTTCAATTTTCTTTATTGACAATTACCATGTTGGCATACAGTCATTTTCTGTGTTAAAGCACTTTTTTCAGGAAACAGCATAATGATATTCTTCTAGTAGTTGTAATATTTGTAGGGTTGACAATTTTTCTGATATGAATATCACTAGTTTTTCACCATCCTGAGAATTGGTTCTGGAAACTGTTGAAAATACATTTGTAGAAATTGAGCATATACTGAGTAATTCATTTATTTCTTCTTTGCTTTTAAAAGGTATTGATGTATGAAAAGAAGTTTAAATGCTACATTGTAAATATTTATCCCAAAGTAAGAAATTTAATAATCTATAAATTGAGTGTACGTATGAACTACGTGTAAATTATGTATTTCTTTTTTTTTTTTTTTTTGTTTTTTTTTTTGGTGTTACATTGGCACTACATGTATATTGTCTATGTACAATGGGAAAAATGATTTGAAAGTGATTTTAAATTAACGGAAAATGACTTCTAGAGTTTGTGGGTTATTGAAGGTGTATAAAAGCAATTTAAACAATGTGTATTTTGAAGATTGAAAGATGTATAAACCTCTGCAGGTCTGATTAACCGATTGTACTGTATGAGCTCTACAAAGGTGATTCATTTATCTCACTGTCTGGTGTAGTATATCACGAGTTTTTGGGACAGTAATACATGTAACAATGAAATTATAAATGATGTATGCTTCAATATTTTCATTGTATTTTAATATGTTAATGATGATATTAAAATTGAAAAAAAAATCACTTAATATATTTCTTTTATGTAATATACCTATATTAAAAAAATATATTGAAGATCATCAGGTCAATGTTAGATATGGAATTTATTTCAAGAGTGTAAATTGTGATAGAATTTTTCAAAATATTTTCATGAGTGTAAAATATAACTATAAAAATCTTGCCCACCAGTAAAAATAAATTTCATATCCAACCATAAAACCACAAAACATTGAATTTTTGTGCATTGCATCTTCTTCCTTTGTTGCAGTTATTCCAGTATAATGTAGGCTGTTATATCAAAGCTTAGCAACTATGAAATTTAGAATTGTTATTTAAATGTGGTTTTTGTCAGGATAGTATATTTCACCAATTCATTATTTTATATAACAACAAACTTAGATATAACACTTTGTGAAGGGCATGAAAATCTCAAACTATGCCACATGTTTTATTTTTTTCACAGTGAAAAATCCCTTTCATATGAGTTTCATAGTGAAAAATATTACACTGTGCTTTCAAGCAATCGCATTTTTAGTGAATAAATTGCAGGTGCACGCTTTAGAAGGAATTTCAGAGTTACCTCCCTTTGCTCAAGAAAAAATAGTTATTTTTCACCTGTCTATTAAAGATTTTAAACCGTAATAAATTACTTTTAGTACAATTATTTTACACACATAAAAAATCTGAATATGCTTGTATTCAAACTAAAATAAACAACAACTTTTAAAGAAATAAGAAACTTTTGTATTACAAGCTATATATTCTTCTTTGCAAAATATTTTATGAAGCAGCGATTCCACATGACGTGTAAGAAACAGAGTAAAAACAATATTATTGATTGTTACAGATGTTCCTTAATCTAATAATATTGAAATTTTGATTCCCCTAGGGGGAAATATAATTATAACGAAAGAGAGATGCAAAGTCGGTTTTAGATAGAGTAGGAACGAGATAGTGTGTTCTTGGAATATAAAACGCAAGTTCATAAAGATGAGGGATCGATATGGTACGTGTAGAAATACACGTACCAAGTGTCATGGCATTTACAGTGACTACTGACCTAAAGTGATTTAACAGTAATTTGATTTTCAACTGAATCATCTTTAATGAAGATATTTTAATTGTCACCTGGAAACACTTTTTCTGCTTTCTATTGTAGAAAAGTCTGCCGATCCAACTACCCTATGCATATGACTTTCCATTTCCCACATTCTGGTTCTGTGCTTGTGTTATGGGTCAGAATTACCCTAAATGCCAGCAAAGATCAATAACACAATTTAAATAAACTTAACAATAATTTATTTACAGTAATATATAATAAGTATATGAAACATAAAGTACAAACTTAGCAAGAATCTAAGAATACATACATCAGAGTGTCCGTTGCTGCGCACAATGTCCCAGTGAAAATATATCCCATTTATATCTCAATAGTGCTTATACGACAAAGTATATGTGTGCATCGAATTGACAGGGTATTTATACAGTAATATAAATCTAGATTATTATATGATTGAATAATTTCCATCTCTCTGATTGGCTGAGATCCAACTATGTTAGAAAAATATTACGTTGTATTGACCTGCACGTGACGTTCCAGGTCAATACAAGGATTTATTTCCTCTACATTGATCTAAAAATAGATTGGGAAATTCCAAATTGATACAAATTATTTCAGAAAGCTATTTAAACAACTATGATTTTTATTTTCATGTGAACAAAACATAAGCGAATATATATTTTAGGTGAGTGAGGGTGGTAAGAGGGGATGCAGGGATCCCCCTCCAACACTTTTACTGAACAACAATTTTTACTTTTTGGCAGTCAGTTTTCCCTGATAATACTTCTTCCTTTCAAAAACTATCCTATAAAAATGACTGACAATATATATTTCTTTCATGGCAACTAAAATTGATGAAAAAACAAATAAATTGATACGACTTGTAAGGTTTATTCACATTTTAATTCTGCTTCTCTCTTGTATTTGGCTAGGACTTAATAAAATGCAAACAAGTAATGAGCTGTATCATTTTATCAGTGAATCATATAATAAAACAATTATTGCTGTTTTTTCGGTCAATACAATGATTTAGCCATCTGAGAAGTACAATATTCACCGAGCCCGAAATAAAATGCAAACAAGTAATGAGCTGTATCATTTTATCAGTGAATCATATAATAAAACAATTATTGCTGGGTTTTTTTCGGTCAATACAATGATTTAGCCATCTTCAAAGTACAATATTCACCTTGCCCTTCGGGCTCGGTGAATATTGTACTCCTCAGATGGCTAAATCATTGTATTGACCTCAAAAACCAGCAATAATTGTATAATATTAACGGGAACAATCAACTGAATGACCATCAGAATATATATGCAGTGGGGGTGGTGGGGTTACATTTGTTACTTTCGTTTGTGATACCTCCACTTATTTTTTTAGCTCACCTGAGCTGAAAGCTCAAGTGAGCTTTTCTGATCACCCGTCGATGTCCGTCGTCTGTCCGTCTGTAAACTTTTGACATTTTCAACTTCTCAAAAACCACAGGGTCAATTTTAATTAAACTTGGTGCAAAGCATTCTTGGGTAAAGGGGAGTTAATATTGTTAAAATGGGGGGCCTATAGTCTCCTTACAAGGGGAGAAAATCGAGAAAAGCCAAAAACAGGGTGGGGTCATTAAAAAATCTTCTCAAAACCACTGGACCAAAGGAAAGCTTAAACGTTAAAAGTATGTGGAAGCATCCTAGGGTAGTGTAGATTTTAAATTGTTAAAACCATGACCCCCAGGGGAAGGACGGGTCCACAAAAGGGAATCCAAGTTTTACATAGAAATATATAGAAAAAATCTTTAAAAATCTTTTTTCAAGAACCACTGGGACAGGAAAGCTGAAACTTATGTGGAAGCATCCTTGGGTAGTGTAAATTCTAAATTGTTAAAATGGTGACCCCTAGGGGAAGGGCGGGGTCACAATAGGGAATCCAATTTTTACATAGAAATATATAGGAAAAATCTTCACCTCAAAAACCACCGGGACAAGAAAACTGAAACTTATGTGGAAGCATACGCAGTACTAGGGTAGTTTAGATTTTAAATTGCTAAGTTCATGACCTCCGGGAGTATAGGGCGGGGCCACAATAGGGAATCCAAATTTTACATAGAAATATATAGAAAAAATCTTCTCAAACACCACTGGAACAGGAAAGCTGAAACTTATGTGGAAGCATCCTAGGGTAGTGTAGATTTTAAATTGTTAAAATGGTGACCTCCGGGAGTAGGGCGGGGTCACAATAGGGAATCCAAGTTTACATAGAAATTAGAAATATATAGGAAAAATCTTCACCTCAAGAACCACTGGGACAGAGAAGCTGAAACTTATGTGGAAGCATCCCTATGTTGTGTAGAAACTAAATTTCAAAATCATGACCCCCGGGGTAGGGCGAGGTCACGATAAGGGATCCAAGTTTTACATAGAAATATATAGGAACTATTTCTAAAAATCTTCTCAAGAACCACTAGGCCAGTGGAGGTGAAACTTATGTGGAAGCATCCTGAGGTAGTGTAGATTCTAGAGTATAAAAATCATGACAGGGGAGAGGGTAGGGGACCACAATGGGTATAACAAGAGGGGAAAACTGGTAAAGAACTGCATCACCCAAGTTACTCATGTGAGCGATGTGACCCATGGGCCTCTTGTTTAACAGTGCAGAGCTTCTAAGAAAAGGATAACTACGTACTAGGGAAATTGGATTGTCTTCTTAATTATTATTAAGTAATTATCATTTTATATAATATAGACCTTTAATTCATTTTTTGTGAAGAATGCTGTAAAATGATTCGGCAGAACCCACATCCCTATAGAAAGCCAGCGGATTCAAAATGCCAATTCTGTATAAAATGTACACTTTTGAACCTTAATTTCTTTGTTAATTGTAAAATATCCAACATAACTTGAAGAATGTAAAATATAAGTGCAAGTTATGTCAATGATCACATTTAATTCGTAGACTTGCGATTTGTCAACTTGTTTAATGTAAACATTATACTTTCTTGATTTGTAGATTATGTCAATTAAAAGACATCAACAGTACAATACTTTAAGTACATCGTTTTTTATGGTTCATTTATATACAAATGATTTCTCCACGTCCTTACCTTCTCTCCATTTTTGTCCCCAGCTAAAAGTGGGGGATATGAATTCCGGTCTGTCTGTCTGTAATTCTTACTGTAATTCTGTCTGTCTGTAATACTTCCGTTTCCACACGAAAGGCATTTCTCTCGAGCTTCTTTTTAACTTTATTAGTGAAATTTTACCCAACAACTTCCTATTGCTTAAGGAAGAACCCTGCAGATTTTCGGGAAAAAAATTCAAGGTCATAAATTAAAAAAAATATGTCTGTTTTAACACTTTCCTTTCCACAATTGCCAGTCCCAAGCCCAGATGAGAAAGGAGTAGGGTTGAGCGTAGGGCTGGCAACCCCACCTCATAAAAACCACATGCCACGGAAACGGCTACAATGAATTATATTTCAACTGGTGAACGGAGTGAAGCAGGCCATACAACCGGAATCATGACGGTTTTAGACCCGATAGCAGATCTCCTGACACCGAAACACCACATC